AAACAGAACTGATGCATGGTACTCCAAACCAGCCTGGCTGGGCAGTCTGTAAGGAAGGGACCTACTATTATTATTTTGCTAAATAGACATAGTACCAATCTACCTTCTAAATACCCATAAAGGAGTGCACTTCCCAGCCCTCATTAAAGAAGCCCTCCCATCCCCAGTGGACCATGGTTAATACAGAGACTCACAACTGGTCAAAGGGCGAGAGCGTAAGTGACTGTGAAGTGCTTATCTCTAAATGTGACATCTCTATCTCACGCTCTTTTCCAAAGTCTCAGTGAATATCAAGGAAGAGTCAGAGGTTAGGGAGAACTATTGCACACTGTTTTCTGGATGTAAACAGAGCAAAGAACTGTGGGACTCACAATAGCTGTAGCTGCTTATGTAAGATCAATAAAAGATCAAGCCAGTAAATGTTCCAGAATGGATGGGGGAGGGGCTCATCAGGCCAACCACCATCTGAGGAACTCTTGGCAGCTGATAGCTGCTGGAAAGGGAGAATTTTCTTCTGTGTAGCTCCAGCTCCACTGGATGGTCCTACACTCATGCTTATAGGCAGCACTAATTTGATTCAATTGTTTATTTTTAAAAGGTGGGGGTATGAAATTGGTTAAGAGACATGGTTGGACTGAGAGTTGGGAGGAATAAGGGGGAAGTGGCAGTCAATATGATCAAAATAGTTTACATAAATGTATGAAAGACAGAATCTCAGGTGTTGGAGGTCTGATAGAGGAAATAAATTCATAAGTCAAAGAAAATGTTAAATCTAACCGATTCTTAACACAAAACATCCAGGAAATTTGGCACACCATGAAAAGACCAAACCTAAGAATAATTAAGGATAGAAGAAAGAGAAGAATTGCAGCTCAAAGGCACAGAAAATATATTCAACAAAATCATAGAAGAAAACTTTGCTAACCTAAAGAAGGACATGCCTATGACAGTACAAGAACCTTACAGAACATTAAATAGACTGGACCAAAAAAAAAGTCCCCTCACCACATAATAATCAAAACACTAAACATACAGAATAAAGAAAGAATATTAAGAGCTGCAAAGGAAAAGGGCTAAGTCACATATAAAGGCAGACCTATCAGAATTACATCTGACTTCTCAATGGAGACTACGAAAGCCAGAAGGTCCTGGACAGACGATCTGTAGACACTAAGAGACCACGATGCCAGCCCAGACTGCTATACCCAGCAAGACTTTCAATCACCATAGATGGAGAAAATAAGATATCCCATGACAAACCAGATTTAAACAATACTTATCCACAAATCCAGCCCTATTGAAAACTAGAAGGAAAGTTCCAACCCAAGGAAGTTAGCTGCACCCACAAAAATACAGGCAATAGATAATCTCACACCAGTAAACCCCAAAGAAGGGAAACACACACACTACCACCACCAACAAAACCAAAAAATAATAGGAATTAACAATCACTAGTCATTAATATTTCTTAACATCAATGGACTCAATTAACCTATAAGACACAGGCTAGCAGAATGGGTATGAAAACAGGATCCATCCTTCTACTGCATACAAGAAACACACCTCAACTTCAAAGACTTACATTACTTCAGAGTAAAGGGTTGGGAAAAGATTTTCCAATCAAATGGATCTAAGAAAGAGGCTGGCTATTATAATATTGAACAAAATAGGCTTCAAACTATACTTAACAAAGAGATGGAGAAGGACATTTCATACTCATTACAGGAAAAAATCCATCAAAATGAAGTCTCAATCCTGAACATTTATGCCACAAATACAAGGACACCCACATTTGTAAAAGAAATACTACTAAAGCTTAAATCACAAATCAAACCCCACACACTAATAGTAGGAGACTTAAACATCCCACTCTCACCAATGGCCAAGTCTGCCAGACAGAAACTTAACAGAGAAATAAGGGAGCTAACAAATGTTATGACTCAAATGGACTTAACAGACATCTATAGAACATTTCACCCAAACACAAAAGAATACATCTTCTTCTTAGCACCTCGTGGAACCTTCTCTGAAATTGACTATATACTCAGTCACAAAGCAAATCTCAACAGATACAAAACAATTGGAATAACCTCCTGTATCTTATCGGATCGCCATAGCTTAAAGTTAGAATTCACCAACAACACAAATTACAGAAAGCCTACAAACTCATGGAAACTGAACAATGCACAACTCAATCACCACTGGGTCAAGGAAGTAATAAAGAACGAAATTAAAGACTTCCTAGAATTCAATGAAAGTGAATCCACAACATATCCACACTTATGGGAAATGATGAAAGCAGTGCTAAGAGGAAAATTTATAGCACTAAATGTCCACATAAAGAAGTTGGAGAAATCTCACACTAGTGACTTAATAGCACACCTGAAAGCTCTAGAACAAAAAGAAGCAAACTCACCCAGGAGGAATCAATGCCAGGAAATAATCAAATTGAAGGCCGAAATCCATGAAATGGAAACAAAGAAAACAATACAATGAATCAATGAATCAAAGAGTTGGTTCTTTGAGAAAATCAACAAGATAGACAAACCCTAATCCAAACTAACCAAAAGGCAGAGAGAGAATATCCAAATTAACAAAATCAGAAATGAAAAGGGAGACATAACAACAGACACTGAGGAAATCCAGAGAATCATTAGGTCATACTTCAAAAACCTGTACTCTACAAAATTGGAAAACCTAAAAGAAACAGACAATTTTATGGATAGGTACCACATACCAAATTAAATCAAGACCAGATAAACAATTTAAATAAACCTATAACCCCTAAAGAAATAGAAACAGTCATTAAAAGTCTCCCAACCAAAAAAAGCCCAGGGCCAGATGGTTCCAGTGCAGAATTCTACCAGAATTTCAAAGAAGTGCTAATACCAATACTCCTCAAATTGTTCCACAAAATAGAAACAGAAGGAACACTGAACATCTCAAAGAATAAATAAAAATATATTCTATATATACAAAGTAACATTTGCTCTCTTTTTCTAAAAGCCCATTCTACAGCAAAAAGAAAAAAGAAATTATTTCCATTATAGTTGAATTTTAAAGTATTAGGGTCTGAGGAGACCATAGAATCAGCACTTAAAGTTTTGTTTCTCTCTCCCAAACTTAGATATCAGTCTTTATTGTTTAAAATATGCTTCCAACTACCTCACTTTTCTCCATGGGAAAGGTTTTCCTCCCCCTATGCTCTCTATCCCAATGTTCTGTATTCCAGGCTACCCTCACTTAGTTTAGAACAGTGGAGACATTTTCAATAAATTTGTCATTCCCAGGGTCTGATGAATCAAAAAACAGTAGGGTCCATACCCCCTTGCCTTTCACAATATTACCAGAAAATTCATCCCAAAGCAGAATTTGCCATACTGCCTACTAGCTTTGAGGCTTCTTCTCACAGAGAATCCAGCAACTCCATTACAGGCTCAAAGAACTGCCCCCATCATTTCACTCATCTCTAGCATCTGTCCTGCAGAGATGTCCAGAAGACTGTGAGTTTTGCTGAGTTGAGCTTTTAATGAATATGCTCTCTGATTAGAGTGTCTTTCCTATTTTCATGCTTTGAATTCACTTATTCCTGAATTGGGGAGTATTTAATACCTACTGTGTTGCAGGTTGTGAGATATTCTGGGGTCAAAATTAGAATAAAGTAGACCTGTCCTTAAACACAAGGAATTGGCACTTTTCTCATGCAGACTGTCATCTCCCCAGACTCAAGCATCTTTATCTCCTACTCCTTCTCCATGACATGCCCATATTAAACTAATTGTGCCTCTTTTTGGAAGGCAAATTTTGTTGTAGCTTTTTTGTGTGTCTGTTTGTTGTTTTACATTCGCCAGATTCTGCAATGCTTATAATAAAGAGCAGTCTGTTTTCAACAACTGTCCCTAGAAGGCCCAGGACACAACTGATAGCAAATCAATTTGAATTCAAAATTTAGGCATGGTGCCAGAAACCTAGCTTGCTAAAAATATCTCCAAGCAAGTCACAGGCTATGTGTACATTCTTTATTCCTCTGTTTAGACTTACCAGTTTTCATGAGCATATGCAAACTTCATTTTCCAATGTATGGTTCCATAACACATTGGCCTCACTCTCAATTTTTAATGTTTTATAAGGAATAGTTCTATCCTCAAAGATAATAGTGTTTTCACAAATATATATGAATTTTTCTCATAAAAATCTTCAGGTAGACATAGCTAATGGTTTAAACCTTATCTTGCACTTATTTCCTCTTTCCATAGAACTCACTCTCTCCTTGAAATTTCTATGAACAATGATGTTCCTTTTCCCATTGAGCTGAATGCCACTATATCATACAGCCCAAAGAGGGAATGTATACCTTGCTCTCTTCCTCTTAATGCCATGGTTACTGTAGGACTATTTCTAAGTAGGATTATTTTCAGCAGTCTTGAGAAATTCTGCAGCTGGTGCAATGTAGTATAGTGTTTTTATATTGATTTATTCTAATGAAATGTATTATATGTTGCCATTCACTAAGGTTTTCTTCCTTTCTTCAACTACAACTCCTTTGCCTGTATTTTTCAGAAGCAGCTCATGAATTTCACATTGAACTTTCAGTGACACCAGGAAAACTAAAATTACACAATCACTTGTAATTATATGGAAAAAAGGTGTTCTAAACCCGTAACCTGAAGGAACATGGATGATGCTAATGAAAACCAGCATATCAGGTCAACAACATTTAATAAGAACCAAGGCAGTATTCTGCAAGTAGAACTGTGTTTCTTTAAACTCAGTTGGATAATTGCCAACTGAGATTCTAATAAATGGAAAAAAGTAATGATGTTGGTTTATAGAACCTAAAGTAATTCTTATCTGGATGTCTATCCAAAAAGGCTTATCAAACCATTGGACCCCACTTGGACTTAGTCATACAAAGTAATTTTATATAATAGATATTTACCCAATTACAATTCTAATGTAATTCATGTATAAGTTTTTAGAAGGAATCAAATGTAATGTACCTTTCCTGTCTCCATCTTGCTTGAAACTTTCCCTGTGTCGTTACTGCTTCTGAAACATAAATTGACCCAGTTTGTAATTTCGTTAAAATGTAATATGGAAAATCCTTATCAAAATATCAATAGTTTTTACCCTGGAACTGATTTTGTTTTCTCTTTTCTTTCATTTGTTTCTTGTCCAATAACAGTTTCTGCAAAATATTAAATGAAAGAGAAACCATTTAAGTAAAGAGTTATCATTGAGTCTGCATGTGTGTATGCATGAATGTGTATGTGTGCATGTGTATACATATGTGTATGTATGCAATAAAAGATGGAAGCTTATTTGAAATTAAAAGGAAACAAATTCACCTTATACCAATATAACATTCTTCTTTTATAAGTGCAAATATCCTGCAACATCTTCCATTGCATCAGAGCAGTTCATCAGAGCAAGAAATACCAATGTTAGAATTTAATGCTATACTGTACCCAAGTAGAACATAAGAATTAAAGATCTATAATTTATTCAGGAAAGTCATTCAGGTAAAAGGAAAGTAACCTGGATGTCTACTGATAGGACATGAGAGTGTTCCATTGGACTAGCTGGAGGGTACAAAAGCATTCTTCCTTTTTATGCCAGAGAATATACTCAGCAGTTAATTTAAAGTAAAATATTTGTAGAATTCATTTGTAGGTTCTGGAAACTTCAAAAATAGTAAGACTAAATGCATCTCATGCATTTATGTATACTTAATTCAGAATATAACCCAGCATTCTTGAATTTATGCTTACTGCCCAAATGACTAAACCCCACTGTGGCCATATCAATACATGATACCATCAACTTCCAGTCCATGGGTGGCAGATTCATTGAAATAAGTCATCTGAGTGGCCTCGGCCTCTGCTTCAGCACTGATGATCTGCTGCGCCACAGCCTCCACGATGGGCATCACCATGGCAGCAGTAGAGGTGTTGCTAAGCCACATAGATAAGAAGGCAGTACTGCTCATGAACCCCAACGTCAGCCTGAAATGAGAGGGTCTTTAGTGTGGAGCTGTGCTGTCTAGCTCTTGTAGCTCTCTATACTCTCTATATTCAACGGTAAAGGATATTGTTTGCAAATTGTGAAGTATGTGTTTAATAACACAGAAGATAAAGTTTCTGCTCAGATGGGGAATTCTGAGTGTGGTTATACAGACAGGTAGAATCAAAGTAAAACATGTAAGGGTCATGTTATTAGGATATATATCCCTTTAAGGGTACTAGAAGAACATTCTTCCCAAAATCAGATAAATGATTAAATTTATACCTAACTGCAAATTGGCATGTAGCACAACACAGACTGCAGTTACCCTAATACTTGAGTACTCTCTTATGAATGGCTACTTATCTTTAGACACAAGTAAGATGACAGTGCAGCCAACTTATGAGAGTCCCTTGCTTTTATTTCATCCTTTGGCCATTTTTCTGTTAGTATGTGCAGCAAACAGAACCAAGAATGGGATTAATATTTATAAATCTTCCATTCATTCATTCACTCTCCTGGTTCAATATATAGTGGGTGGAGAAAATGGTTACAATCCCTTGATAAAATGAAGTTTCAGAATTTTCTATAGATTCTATTATTTATGCTCTGTTGAACCTAGCATTTCTTCCTGTTGTCAAGAATTAGATTTATTACTTGTCTTCTCTTATAAACAGAGTAATTTATCCTTAAAATAACAAATCTGAGACTTTGGGACTTCAACCATTTCTATAAACTTTCAGAACAATACTTGGGGGGAAGTTTGATCTGATAGGAGACCCCCCAAATCATTCAGAAGCAGATATTTCTATGAAGTGCCAATTATATATTTCTTCTTTTTGAAAATAGATCTATATGAACCGTTCTTTACCATGTTTCAGACTTGAGTATGGTGAATACTTTCTATGTGTGAAACAACATAAAACATCTTAGAAATCTGTTTGAAGAAGAAGTAATTCTTAATTTAAAAAAAATGAAAACGTTTAATATATAGTATCTGTATAATAGGTAGTTATTCCATATCAAAAAATATTATCATCAGGTAAAACTTTTGCTGGTGGAAATGCCTCAGACCAAAGAGCCATATAGTGATGCAGCAGACAGGAGTCTTGCTTTACTGTGCAGTGTGCTAATCTTTCTCCTGGAGCAATGGCCAGATAGTCAAGGAAAAGATGTCGATGGTACCCAAGAGGAAGAGACACTATTCCACTGTATTTATATAATAAATATATTATAAAGAAATACATTTGTGTAATAAATATTCTAAGCAAGATATTTTGTCAAATTTGTCTCATATGTGTCATATGTACACAGAGAAGTATGCATGAATATACACACATAGTATTAGTATTTTAGCAAAGAAATTTACTCCACAGTGGTAAACAGAAAGTCTGCTATGCCCTTGAAGAAATTACACAACAGAAGTCATTTTTTTTCTTATTTTCCAAAGAATGATAAGAAGGAGAAAAACCACCTAAGGCTTTAAAGTAAAACATTATGCAAATGATTATGACACTGGAAATGTTCCTTAGCTGATGTTCGTGTTTATAACAAGAGGTGGAGTAGAACCCAAATAGCCAATTAATTTAATGGAATAAAAAAAATCATTCATTTCAGTGAAGGGAAATCAGTCAAATGAGTAATTTCACGTCTAGAAGAAAAATTTCAATTGATTGTTTCTCTTTGCAACACTTGATTTGAAAAGAAAAATGTGTTCACCTTGAAATTTTTCTGCACAGATTTGTATTCTGTCAGTAATGTCTTTGTCTTTGGTTCAGAACATCCTCCCTGTTGATGAAGGACGCTCTTGAATGAGTTTTGAATGTGTAATCAGCCAAATAAACAAAGTGAGATTGAAATCTACTCTGAAGATATCAGTCTCTTTTGTTGAGGTTCAAGGCTCCTCTCACCTTTGACTCCAACGGTGCATTTAAGGTTGAGAGGGTTGTGTGCATTTATTCCAATCTCCCTGAAATTTGATCTGCAGTGAAAGGAAAGCTGTTTTCTTTTCCTCCTACCCCTCAAGCACACTTCACATCCCTTTCACATTTTCAGTCACCCTGCTACCCAAGTCATTTCTGCATTACTTATTTGTTATTTGCTCTACACAAAATGGTCTACTTGCAATATAATCTGGAAGAAGTGAACACAGTACTTACCAGGCCGGATTCACACCCACCATCATCACCATCCTCAGAGCAATCCTCTTGTGTAAATTCCATTTTTCTATTGATGTTGCTAAACAGATGACTCCAATTAACAGCAGGTGAAAGTCTTTGAAATAAGAAGAGGCCACCTGGAATTGCAGTTAAACCCATGATTATGTATCTTGGTTGGGAGAATGATGTACAACAAAGATATTCATAGGCTACTATTCTTAACTGTGACCTTAAACTATGTAATTTTCTATTGTGTCAAAAAATATGTTTGAATACAAATATGAACTATAGTTTTATTCAGAAATAGTGCTATTTAAAAGCATACAGGGAAATATATGTACACAGAACACTAGATTTTTAAATAAGAGTTGCTTCATACAAGTGGTCCTATGCTATAATTTCTCCTCCTATAAACTGATGTGACTTTTAAAGTGTCCTACAGTGGAGTGCAAATAACTGAAATGTCAGAAAATTCCACCATCACTCTCCACCTTCTGGGGGTCAGCCCTGGGTTGTGGTCAAGTCCCAGAGAGGAGGTAAGGAGTAGGCAAGATAAGAATAAGTCAGGCATGATGGTTGAGAGAATCTTGCAGCCTGCCTGACTAGCAGCCAGAGTGCTTCTTTATTTATACAGAATTCAGTAAACAAGACAGATGCATGTTGTTCCCAAACATAGTTCATATCATTTTTATTTCTGAACATGTGTGTAATTTTTTTCTCTTGCACATCTGGGGTTATAAGTTTAGTTTTCATCGATAAACCATGACAGAATAGAGTTATCTTTTATAATCATTTTTACTGTCAACCCCATAACCCAATTTTTAAGAATCTAGAAGCATATGACAGCCTATTCTCAGGCTGGTAGCTTCTGTGGTTTTAAGGATGCTAGACCAAAATGAAATCTCCAAGCCAGCCTGGGGAAAATTGCCATGTCTCAGGCAGTATATTATTAACTCTTAATGGTCAGAGTGTCCAAGAAAAATTCCCAGGCCAAAGGTGCTTCAGTTATTATTTAATTTCTAGCATAATATAATGTTTTATATTTCATATCTTTATAGAATTTATTTATATGTCTAATCCTGGCACTATCTTGTTTTTTTGGCCATAAGACACTACAGTGGCCCTGTATAAGCTAACTTTTTTAAGAAAGGGAGGTCCTGACACTTCATTCTTTTATCATCTTTCTATATCATTCTTTGTCCATCAATGTAAGTCCCCGTGTAAGGAAGAGTTAACTGTAGCTAATCTAACTTTGTTATTGTATATATCACATAATCCCCAGAGTGTATACTAGGAAGAGGCTTGTAATCTGATTTGTGGCCAACTCTTCTAGCCCACTGAATCTTGTAGACCTTTTTAAATTTACTTTATTTTGATTATTTTGTTCCTGAGTAGGTACAGGGGCAGATGTTTCAAGAATATCTCAGAGCCTCATAAAGAGACCTCTGGCTTCTTTATGTGTGTCACAACCTCCAAGGCATAAGGAAGACCTTCAAGTAAATAAGGATATCTCCCAAAGGAGGTCTGCTATGCTCAGGACTTTCCTGGGGAAGCTTAGAAGCAGTACTCCTGGGAGAAGGCATAAATGATTTGTAAGAAAATTTCCATCAATCCAATACCCTCAATTGTACAAATATTAAAATTCCCCAAGTATACAGCAGGTGGAGATGAAAACCAAAGGTAGCACAGTGGCCATCATGCGACTCAGCTTTGCTGGATCTTTGTCAAGCAGCTGTGCTGGCTTTTTTACTTTTGCGGTTCCCATCAGATATAGCTGTGCCACCCACCCCTCCAAATCATCTTCTTCACCAACCAAATACACATCTTTATTACTACCTGCGTTCTGATAACTGTAGTCCTCCTGAATATTTGAATGATTTCATCTTCAAAATTATTTATTATATATTTTAAAAGTCCTTACCTAAAGGCTATCATTTTAAACTTCTGTGGGATGTCTTTCTGTATGCTGTGAATATATGTTGCTCTGATTGGTTGATAGATAAAGCTGTTTGGCCAATGGTGAAGCAGAATAAGGTTAGGCAGGACATTCCAACTAGAGAGAGAGGAAGGAGAAAGACAGAGCTGAGAAGATGATGCTAGCTGCCGCCAGGAGAAGAAAGATGTAAAGCACCAGTAAGCCACAAGCCACATGGCAAAGTATAGATTTATAGAAATGGGTTAATTTAAGAAGTAAGAGCTAGCTAGCAAGAAGCCTGAGCCATTAGGCCATATAGTTTGAAACTAATATAAACCTCCATGTGTTTATTTGGGTCTGAGTGGCTGCAGGACTGGGTGGGACACAGAAAATCATCCAGCTACAATTGGTGTACCAACATGGGGCTCTTGAATTTCTATAAGGCCTAAAAGAGTTTAAAAATGGCTTCTAAACACACAATAATGGAGCCAAAAAACAGCTTTCTACTTCATGTCTCATGTGGACCGAGATATAGAGATGCCAAGGTACAGAGTTGCCATGATGTGTGAACTTGAGCTACAGTATGAAGGGTTCATAGTGTGTGGGCTGAAACATAGCATGGCAACTCCTGCTGTGGTACACAGAGGCATCTCCAAGCCACACAGTATGTTGTGTGGTGGATTTAGTTTTTGCTAATACAAAAAGGAGAAGAAGAAGAAGAAGAAGAAGAAGAAGAAGAAGAAGAAGAAGAAGAAGAGAAAGAGGTGGTTTCTGGGTTACACGCTGCTAGATGGAGGCATGGACCCACTGCTTCCCAAAGTCAGCAGAGAGCATGGCATCCAGGGCTGGCTGTAAACATACCACCACCATATTGGGAAGCTGAGGTGGGTGGAGTCAGCAGCCAAGGCTGCTGTTTTTGTACTAGCCATGCAATTGCACAATTTAAAATCTCTCCTGGTCAGAGAAAGATTATAGATTCACAATGAGACAGATTCAGATAAAATAAAACTCTAAACTGTTTACAATGTGTGTAAAAATGTACATAGGCTTGAAAGAAAACAATGAATATAGACAGTTATAAAGAAATAGTTTTAAAAAATAAAATCTTTAAAGAGACAGTAAAGGTAATATAAAAATAAACCATGTAAAGATGGACATTACACAGAGAATCTGGATTGTGTTGCCCTTGGAATTTTTAACTGCAGAAAGATATTTGATTATAAAGGCTACTCAGTTAAACCAATATGTATATTTTAAAGGTGTCTGGACTTCAAAGTTTATGTCTAAGGATATGTTGCTTTGGAAAAGAGGTTCTGCTTTTGTTTCTACAGAAAATGAGAACCTATGGATTGCTTCCAGACTAATATGGTTTGATCAAGGAAGACCCCCTTGAGAGGCCCAGATGATCCAACATCCAAAAACAGCTTCAAGGCAACCAGCACCGCCTATCAGCAGGAAGTAGCCTAGAACACTACACCCACATTCCCAAAAAATAGATTATGGTTATTTGTCTTTGTTAAAGATTGGTCACAAATTGTTATTGGTCATAGTCAATATCTTTCTAAAAGAAAAAAGGGGGATAGGATATAGATATGATAGCATGAAAGGGTAGATTATTGATTCTACTTTTAAAGAGCAACTTGTTTAAAAATGTTTTACATTTCTATGGATTTTAGTTTATTGATACAAATTTAGAGTTGATTTTGTTATACTATATATTTTTTTACTCTCATTTAAGGTATTATGTTTATATAACTCATTTAAATTGTAATGGATAATTAAGAAATATAGATTAATAATTAGCCTTCTATGATAGTCAAACTTATAGTCATGTTAAGTTTTCTAGGTATACTTAGATATAATTCAACTGGGTAGGTAATCTTCAAACACTTCAAAGACCTACAGAATATGGCATTTAAAATGTTTTAAAAACTTAGACTTTCTGGACATGAGACACATCTGCTCCTGGCAGCACTGATTTACTTCAAAAAGAAAGATGGGCATCAAAGACACTCCATATGGAGTTTATCTTCTTGGCAAAAAAAGCCATTTGGGCAAGAAACTGTTCTTGCCTGGACTGCTTGACAAAATGTTGTATCGCCTGGACATGCAGGACCCATAGGAAGGTGACCACCGAACTTTGCAAGGCAAGATGGTCCTTCAGGTTCCTGCTTCACAGAAGAAACTACCAGACATTCTACAGGACACAGAGAGAAGTGACTGAGAGACTCTAGACCTATAGGCTAAAGATGGATGCCCCAAAGTTGCAGAGAAACTTTCGATGACTGTCCAGGCAGGCAGCTGCCTCTGTCATTTCCAGAATTTTGAAAGTTGCTTACAATGAATTTCCTGTTTACTTAGGTAATATTATATCCTTCTGGGGTCTTTGATGCAATCAAAGACTAGATAGTTATAATTATAATTTCCCCTGGTTATAATAAGATAAATAAGATTTGAAACGTTAAACTCACAAATATAGGATAGATGATAGAATGTTTTCTTTAATTTTGCAAAATACAAATAGACTAGATATTATAACTGTAATTCTTGCTTGATAAATGTTTTGCTATATGTAATTTTACTATGTTAAAGTTAAAAACCTTCAATTTTGATTAGGCAGAAAAGGGGAAGTGTTGTGGGATGTTGTTCTGTATGCTGTGAATATATGTTGCTCTGATTGGTTGATAAATAAAGCTGGCCAGTGGTGAGGCAGAATAAGGTTAGGTGGGACATTCCAACTAGAGAGAGGAAGGAGAAAGACAGAACTGAGAAGATGATGCTAGTTGCCACCAGGAGAAGCAAGATGTAAAGTACCAGTAAGCCACAAGCCACATGGCAAAGTATAGATTTATAGAAATGGGTTAATTTAAGAAGTAAGAGCTAGCTAGCAAAAAGCCTGAGCCATTAGGTCGTATAGTTTGAAAATAATATAAACCTCCGTGTGTTTATTTGGGTCTGAGTGGCTGCAGGACTGGGCAGGACACAGGAAAATATCCAGCTGCATTAAACCACTTTTACTTAATATCACTCAGACAGGAACTCTGTCCAGGCACTTTGAGTGACCATTTGCCAGAGTAATTCCAAAGAATTTCCAATATGTTAAGTACAAATCTCCCCACTCCATGAGAATTGTGTGTTCAGTCAAGTTAAAATCTCAACTCTTAAAATACTAGATTTTCCCCCACAGGCCTTCATAAAGCCTTTAAATGATAATTTATCTCT